TGCGCGCCCGCACGAGCGGGGCGCGCGGGCTCCCCGGCCAGATCCCCGCCAGGTACCCAGCGGATGCGTGGGGTGCAGGGGGCAGCGGACTGCTCCTGGGAGAACGCGTGTGCGCGTGTGTGCGCATGTATGTGCGCGTATGTGTGTGTGCGTGCGCGTGTTGCGCTGTTTCATTTGACTTCAAGGGAATCCTTATTTAATTCCCCGCCTGAATTCTCTCTGGGTGGGGAAAAGTCCGCCCCACCCAGGAAAGGACGACAAACAAACGTACATCTAAATGGGTTGTCGTGGGACTAGGGGCCCCTCCTGCTCCTCCAAGGCCAGGGCCACCTTCTAAGGACAGGGAGTTGGGAATGGAGCAAAAGAAGCCTCAGGCCCCTTGGCCCTTGCTTTCTCTCTTGGCTGTTTCCTCCCCCACTCCCTCCCTCCTTCATCCTTCCACCTCCCCAGTAACTAACGAGCTATGGGTCAGGCTGTGAGCTAGTGCTGAGGGGCAACGGATGAATTTAGGAGGCAGTCTCCATGTTGTGAGTCCTGGCTCCAGAGCACACAGGCCATAACCCCTGTCTCTGGGGTTGTCAGGCAAAAGGGCCAAGTTTGGGTCCACCCTCACTGTGCTGAAATGCAAGCCTGAGGGTTTTGCTCCCTGAAAGCCTGAGGCGGAGCCACCCTCCCCCGAGTCAGAGCTGCCTGGTCACAGGGCTCCCAACCTGTGGCCTCCAACACGCGTAGTCACACAGAGTTGCATATGGGCACAGGTCCCACAGGTCCACACAGGCATTGCTGTTGCACACACAGACACACTCAGCCATAATACACCTGCAGGTGCATCCACAGGACCCCACAGGCACAAAGATGCACTGTAAGCACACAACAGCCTTGCAGTCACCCACGTTCACACAGGCTCGCAGCCACACAGGCATATGGCCATGCCCCACGGACACAGGGACCCCAGGAGCTGCCTCCCCTCCTGCCAGCCCACCAGCTGCCCTTGCAGGGACATAGGTGGCCTATGGCCTGGCCAGGGACCATGAGTTGTTTTCTTGACCTATATGGCGCTTAATGCTTTCTCCAATCCAAACACACGTCCTGTTTTGTGCAACAGGGGACGTGCATGTCCTCACACCCGTCCCTTTTAATGCACAGCCCATTGCCGTGTGACCCACATCGCCCCACATCATCCATGCCCTGCGAGTTAGGCAGGCAGTGTCTAATCATCGCCTCTGAGAGAAACTGAGGTTAACTGTCGGTAAGACCCAGCCAGAACGCAGCATTAGAACTTGGAGTCGGGGGCTCTGTCACTGCCTCTTGTTGGCAAATGAGGACATTGGGGCCACTGAGTAGGGGAGAGGTCCTCGACATCCCACCAGATTCGAAGCTTCTGCTCTCCTAACTGCCGGCACTCATCTGTCTAGTCCATGAAGGCTGGAATCCTACACGTGCAGGACTGGTAGGCGCTGACCTGCTTACCCGCTGGGGAAGAAGGATGGGGTGGGGCGAAGCCAGAGGTCATGAGAGGACCTATCAGGGTGGCCAGGACTCAAGGAACAGAGGTGGGATCTTTGCTGGGGAGATGATGCAGGCCCCAGGCTTCTCAGATCACTGGATAGAGCACCAAACCATTCCACCCTTGGGCCTCTGCTAATCTCCATACTCCCCAAAGACCAGGACTGGCACCTGAGAGTTTACGAAAGGCTGGGATGCCACCCTCTCATTTCCTCCTCCCCACGACCCTCTGAAGAAGTAGAGTCCAGATGAATTGCTCTGTCTTATAGATCAGAAATAGCAAAGCGCCTCCAGGGCTGTTCGCAGCTGGCTGCCTCCGAGCAGTGGGAATGAAGTAGTTACCGAGATGAGGTCCAAACCGCTTACGCGTGAATTATGAGGCCCCTTTGTGGCCCCGCTTCACCTCCTAATCCCTCTGCTCCAGGGGCTCCTTCTGGGGCTCCAGCTGCACAGACCCTCACTAGTCGCCAGCGTGCCCTCCGTGATTGTGCTCCAGGGCCTTTGCACACACTGCTCCCTCTGCCTAGTAGGTCTCTCACCCTGGTCTCCATCTGCTTCTGGTGTCACTTCCTCAGGGAATCCCTCCCTGGTCTCCTGTCGGTGCCCGCCTTGGGGTTCCTGGAGTACTAGGGGCTTTTTGTCCGTCAGAGCACTTACTCCCTCCATTCTCGTTGCCACTCTCCTTGTCTGCTCTCCCCCTGGACTGCGAGTAGAGACCGCTACCGCTTTAGCTGTATACTGTCTGCTTGACCCCTGGTTTCGGACAGGGGTGCAGTCACTCTGTGCTGAATGAATGAATGAACGAATGAATGAATGAATGTCTTTGCTCAGTGACCCAGTTAGTAAGTAAACACCAAAAATTACCACATCATCCTGTCCCTTCAAAGGAAGAAGTTTATTCTTCCAAGCAAAGGTCCATTCATTCAACAAATGTTTATTCATTCATATGTCAAGCTCGTACCAGGTACATACACGCGCGATAGCTCATGTATTCCTCATGATGCCCTGAGTGGTTGGCATTATCTACAGATAAACAAACACGCACATGCACTGTGCGGTGCAGCAAACACCACCCATGAAACGCTCGTGAAGAATGCATCTAAGGAGGATTAAGTTAAATATGAGGGACAAGAGAGAAAGAAGACTCACTTCCTGCCTCTTGGGGATTTGCAACAGAGAGCAGAGAACTGAGTGGGGAGCCAGGGAGCCTCCCATCGGTCTCCTGGCTGTAGGGGCCTTTGGTCCTGCTACCCCCACAGGATGTACTTGCTCAGGAAACCTTCAAAGCTCCATCCAACCTGAGCCTTTTAATGGCTGTGGCAACTTCTACTCAGACAGGCGAGCTCATGCACTGTCCCCAGCTCTGACCCCTCCCTCATCCTCTTTGTTATGGACTAAACGTTTGTGTACCCCCCAAACTCATATGTTGAAGCCCTAATTATCAGTGTGGCTGTATTTGGAGATGGGGCCTCTAAAAAAATTAAGGTTAAATGCGGTCATAAGGTAGGGCCCTGACCCCGTGAGATTAGTGACCTCAATGTCCTTATGACAACAGACATCAGAGACCCCCTGAACTCCCCGCCACATGGCCAGGGAAAGGCCTTGTAAGCACACAGGAAGGAGGAGAAGGCAGCCATCTGCAACCCAAGAGCGAACTCTCACCAGACACCAACCCTGCTGGCTCCTTGATCTTGGACTTCCAGCCTCCAGAACCGTGAGGAAATAAATTTCTGTTGTTGAAGTCACCCTGTCTGTGGCATTTTATTACAGCAGCCCGAGCAGACTAAGGCACACGCTCAGCACCCGTCCATGTCCTCAGAAGTATCTGGAGGAAAGACCTTCGCTTCCCTCTGCCGTGAGCATCTACATAGGACTCCTTAGGGCAGGGGTCCCCAACCCCCATGCCATGGACCGGTACCGGTCTGTAGCCTGTTAGGAACTGGGCCACACAACAGGACGTGAGTGGAGAGCAAGGGAAGCTTCTTCTGTATCTGCAGCCGCCCCCCCAGCGCTGGCATCACCGCCTCAGCTCCGCCTCAGATCACTAAGCCTTAGATTCTCATAGGAGCACCAGTCCCTGGTGCCAAAAAGGTTGAGGACCACTGCCTTAGGGTCCCCGCTAGGAGGCTGCTCAGGAGGAAGGGGCGAGATGGGCAGAGGCGCAGGGATCCCGTGAAAGCACGCGCGTGCTTGTCCGCGTGTATGCACATACAGCCGTTCCTCCCCATCCTCGGGGCAAAGGCCGTTCACTGAGGCCCCACCACGCGCGGAGACAGAGGTGTCCGAGTTAGAGCATGGGTCCGGGGCCGCTAGCTCTGCATTCAAATCCTGATTTCGCCCCTTACTATCTGCGCGGCCTTGGGCCTGACGAGTACTTTCTCCGGACCCCACACCCTCTGCGGGCCGTGTTGCGTCTGCCTTGCAGCGTTGCTGGGAGCAGCGGTAAAGTCACGTTTGTACGACCCTCAGCAGGCACCTGGCCCCGAGCGCGCGTGGCTGGTTATGGAGAGGGCACTGCTGCTGTCGCCGTGGGCCAGGCATCACGCCGGGCTAGAGAGGGATAAAAACGAGTGAGCCACAGCCCTCCCTTTGGCTCCCATCTTCGCTCTTCATCTGTTTTATAGGAGATCTATTCTCAGGGTCCCCATCTGGTATTAAAAGACTCAGATTACTTAAGGAAGGAAATGTGGTTGGCACCTGATTATGTGCAATTCAGCTACTGTCTTGTACCGTTTCCCAAATGTTCCACACGCATAAGTCTGGCCTCCTCAAATAGACTCTGAGCTTTCGGAAAGCAGAGCAGGCACCTCCTCCCCTGTCCCCACCCACCACAGCTCAGCCTGGCCCAGGATGTCCTCAGTGCTCCACAAATATTCATACTGAGATCCTTCGGGGCAGGGAAAAGGGCGCCATCGCTTAGCCCTGGGATCGAGTCCCGCTTTTCTGACTACGTGTGCATCTTCGTCTGTGACACTGAGCAGGACAACTTCAAGGGTTGATGTGAGGACTGGGTTGGGTAGAATCAGGGGAAACGCGCTCTGTCTCTCTGGAAAGCTCTCTGCAAATGTCTGTTACTATTATTTGCTCTGGGACTCGTGTAGTTATTCATTCTTTCATCCATTCATTCAACAAATGTTTATTAAGGACCACC